TGTATAATGTATTTTGTGGCTCTGGAGGCAACCTTTTAAAGTCTGAGAAAACAACCCTGATTGTGTCATCATTAATATCTTGAGTTAGTCCAGGGTTTTTGAGGCTTTTAAAAGGTACTAAAAGTTAAGATATTTTAGCCTCTGCTGCTTTGATCTTGTTTTTAATTTGTCTCCCAACTCTACGGATGTGGAATACTACTTGCTGGAGCACCGTCATTTACTTGCCATTGGTTTTGGATACTTATGTTTATTACATGTCGTTGTTATTGTGTATTTATTACGTTTAATATATATATCTCAGTCTGCTGCTCAGACTGACTGTAATCATCATAAAACAGCTCAGCTTTTCAGGGATATTATTGCTTTACTTGGCCATATTTGCCCTCTGTGCTTTGTATCACAGCTTGGAACATTTGAGTTTGAAAAAGAAGCCTCCTCTGTCTTCAATGTGTCATATGGTTTGGTGATAGCAGCCCTGTCTCTGGGATGAGTGTGTGGTCTGAGGGTGCCTTTCTTCTCAGTCCTATTTTTAAGACGACGGCAAGGAACCCTCTCAGTGTTGTAGTTGAGCTGTCTTTGAGTGGTTTGAGTTTTGGGATTTTTTTTTTTTTTTTTTTTAATCATTTCGATGGCATCCATGTGTATGGCACCTTTTTCCTTCCCTGAAACTGAAGAAGAGCAACCACCAACCTCATCACAGGGAGTCGGAGGAGCTCATGTTATATACCACACCCTCAGTTTAGGGTCTGTGAGTGTAAGACTGAGACAGAAAATGAACTATATGTATATAAGTGACAGATTGAGAGCTTGCTGGAGTTGTAAAATATTGCCTGCTTCACAGTATAACTGTAACTCTGTTTTTTAGCTCTGTTAGTGACCTAAGGGGAAAATGTGGCATCAGCAGCAATACATGAGGAAAACATTGTTAACATTGACTGCATGTGAAAGGCATCTAACTCTGCTCTGGTCTGTTTTTTATGTTTCGCACAATTCATTCTGTGAAGAGAAGATTAGGCCTCTTAAAATCACAGAATCTTGTCCACAGTGGCTGTACCACTGACTCTGCTTTTCTCATGTTTCAGCCTGTGTACTTCACTCCAAATGTTTCAGACACTGATTGCCAGTAGGGAGTAAAACAGTCCTCCTTCCTGTGAGAAGCAACTACCACAAACAGTGTGGAGTGGAGGGGGGAGGTGGAAATGTCCTCTCATTGGCTGAATCCTGGCTGTCTTTGACCTGAATGCCAAACAGAGAAAGCTCTGCCAGACGTTTCTTTAAACATCCCCCTCGTTTTTTTTTTTTTTTTTTTTTTTATAATCCTCTTTTACTTTCCCTTTCTCTTTGTGTAGTGTTGAAAGAGCCTCTGAGCGTTCCCCCCTCAGTGAAGGGAGTTGTGAAGTGCTGGTGAAGCCCAGCTCAGCAGTCTGTCGCTCATCTTCCCTCTTTTAACTCTCTCAGCAGAGGAATGGGGAGGTCACAAGGAGCATGAGCTCTCAGGCTTTTTCCTTTTTAAACCCAACACTCTCCCAAATCTGTTTGTTTTCTGTTGTGTATATTTGTATGCACTATCACAGGAACAAGCAGCTTTTGTCAAACCACCTGTCTGTTTTATTAAACATATCAAGGAAACTGAGATAAAGGCTCTGATTAAATGACAAGTGTATCAAAAAAGTTTTTACCCACAGTTGACTGAAGCACCAATGGCTTAAAACAGCATTTCTCTATAAACTGGCCTCAGGGATTTCATTGGCATGTCGAGAGTGACGGCACGTTTGCAGGCATCTGAATGAGCAATGGTATAGCTGCCACTCTGACATACATGATTGCCCATAGAGGAGGATCAACTTGACTTGGAGTGGCAATCCCATCACTCTGCCTAATGGACAAGGTTGCCAGGGAGACAGAGAAATTGGTATCATGGATGAGGGGAGGCGAAGCACTCGTGCTAGGGTGGGAGGTAAGGCATTATTCAGCCAATTTACATGGAGTCACAAGTGGAATGAAATGACTCTAAGGTAGAGGGATTATAGAGGGGTTTGTTGTGTAGTGAGACTATTTTTAGGTGCCTTTTACACTGAACCTGTTGCTTAGGTTTAAGCAGCAGGAGCCGTTTGATTCAGTTCGATTAGACTCGTGAGGCCGATCCTGATATTGATATTTGGGAGTTAAAACATTGGATAACAATATATCGGTTCATTAACATCACCTGTTGGTCCAAACCAACTGAACCACACTACAGGTGTGAAAGCGACCTCAATACCGTTGAGCATTTCTGAGCTGCTTTGGGTTTCAATATCTCAAACACCATGGAGCATATTCCCAACAGGCTTCATCAGATTTTCTCATCCAGCCGTCCACACCAGGAGGAATAAATGCTATAAAAATGAAAGGAAAGAAGTAGCCTGGTCTAATCCAGCAGCTGTGGCCTGAGGCGGATAGAGGCTTCAGCACGCTCACATACCTCCTGTCTCTAGGAAGAGTTGACGTCATCATCCCTCATCTTGTCATAAATCTGTCCTTCCATTTCTATTTCCCGCGTTCTCCAGAGAATAAAAAGACACAGCTGCTGTGTCTTTTTATTTTTTATTTTTTCTCTCTCTCTCTTCCTGGATGTTGAACATCTTCATTCTGCTGCAGTAAAAAGTTGTCACATCCCAGAAATTTGAGTAACTTAACTTATGGTGAACTTGACATAAACTCACTTAGTGTTGCGCAAGCGCCTCTTCCTCCGCCTCCTCTACTGTCCCTGTCCTGGCCTGTGAAGAAATGCAGTTTGACAGCTTTAGTGACGGCAAGCAGAGGCACATTCACAAGTGCAATTCTTTACTCTATGCAAACTGTTGCACTTGAATTTTTAATTTTTTTTTTTGCTTGGGATAGAGATGAAAAATGTCAGTGTTAGACACTCTCATGCAGTGGCACACAACCCTGCTTTTGTTTGTGACTGTAACTGTAAGGATATATTCAGTAATGGCTGCACTGTCTCTGTGGTTGTGGCCTAATTGAAGTGGAAATAAATATCTTCAGTTGAAAAAACCAGCACTTTTGAGTGTTGCCATTTGCATTTCATAAAATGTTGCCTACACAGAAGATATCAATCTTTCCACCAGTAATGGAATCTTTTTACATGCTCTAATTTGTGCAGCTACACTTCCCATGAGTCATAACTCTCTTTTGTGGCTACCCTTTATCTGTGCTGTGTCCTCTCAAAGAATAAAATATAAACGACAATACGACTAAGAGAATATACAATCACCCTGCATTTTAAATGTGAGCTGGTTGTTTTCAGTCCTTGTGTCTTGTCGCAGTACTGTTGTGCACATATACTAAATATGCATGAAAACATGCTTTGTGATGCTCACAATTATCAGTACTGCTTTTCTGTTTTACTCTGTTTGACTCAGCAGGGGTTTCCACTCGTAAAACATAGTATATATTATGTATAAATGACCTAACCTGTTAGCATTATTGAACAGCTCTATATGGTCTGTTGGGTTGTAGAGCATATGTGACTGTCACTTTTGGCTCCTGGAGGGAATAGCTGATATAAATCAGATCATCCCACAATAGCTACTCATTACATGAGATGAGATATGAAATAGACAGTTTTATTTGATTATTCAGGCTGAACAATTGCCCACATTAAAAGCTTTACAACATGACTCTATATTCTGTCTTTGAATTCACCCAATTTTTTTTTTTATCTGCACCATTTTTTCTTCCTTTATTTATTCCAGTAATCTTGTTTCCAGCTGCAGACTGAGCTAAATATAAACTGGATTGCTCGGATGGTTCTCATACCATGCGACGCCTTTTATCACAGAACAGGTTTTTGTAGAATAGGAATAAACTAAATTAAATCAAACTTTCCCAATCCCGTCATGCATATTCCCAAACAGTCAATTTCCCATTCGGCTGTCTCCTAAACGGCTACACGTAATTTCTCAGCAGTTAAGGGGGTCCAGCAAACTCATGTCAAATCACCTCACCTAAGGCCTGGTGAAATAGAGCATGCAATTGCTCACTCTGTCTAAAAAAAAAACTAATAGGCAAGGCTTTGCGTATGTGTGTGTGTTTGTGCGTTCGTGCGTGAGAGACAGAAAGTATTGCAGAATGAACACATAAATTGATTTTGTGTGTTTGTGCCGCTCTCTACCACAGAACCTTTCTCAGATGTGCTTTTTTGAGGCTGAATGTTGCATTTTATAGCAACAGTGCTGCTACCGTCCTAAAACCTGTGCGCTTTGTCACGTTTCCAGCTCTGTCCTCCTCTTCAGTTTCACAGAGGGGTGATCATGTGCTCAGCAGCAATTTGAGATTTTGCCATAATCTTCATCCAAGGAATTATCAATGTTAGTGCCAGTCAAGGCGCTGAATATTACCACTAACCTTAAACTCATATTTGGCTTGGTTATGTAATTTAGCCTTGTGATAAACTGGCAACCTGTCCAGGGTGAATCCTGCCTAATGCTCACTGTGAGCCGGGATAAGCAGTTTAAAAATTGTGTGCATGGATGGATATGGATTATTTTGTAATGACTTGTCACTTGTCACAGCAACACTGAGCCTTACACACACACACACACGCACACACACTTCACATTACATTAGAAATAATAATACATGTACTCAAATATATTAATGTCTTATAATAGGTATGTTTTGATCCAGTGTTAATACCTGTCACTGTTAATAATTTAGCACAATAGATCCACAGTTACTTAGGAACCAGAGAACAGCGTTCTGGTTTGTATCTTTTTAAAATGTGAATCATCAAACTAAGTATTTCCCAATAATCAATTAATCATTAATGCATTCAATTACCTATAATCAACCGATCAGCCTCCTGTTGATGATGATGTGTTAAAGTCTACCAGTGGCTGTCAATATGTCACTTCTTTTTTTGACACTAATAATTGAAGCTGCTGTGTGTGGCTCTGTGTGGCAGTGTGTGAGATGTCATACTCCTTGGCTGACTCAAGTCCCCTTCTTCTCCACAGGGGGACTCCATGAAAGATGACAGAGGAGGTGATTGTTGTAGCCAAGTGGGACTACACGGCCCAGCAAGACCAGGAACTTGACATCCGTAAAAATGAGCGTCTCTTCCTCCTAGACGACTCAAAGACCTGGTGGCGCGTTCGCAACGCCGCCAACCAAACGGGGTATGTGCCATCGAACTACGTCGAACGCAAGAACAGCCTGAAGAAAGGTTCGCTGGTGAAGAACATCAAAGACACACTGGGTAAGAGGAATTTGGTTTCACGCCATTTAAAAGAGAAAGGTCGCCCGAGTGTTGTCAATGATTATTTTCAGTGAAAGTGGAAAATCTCTGCTTTTCCTTTTCGGTAGTTTGTGCTCCCTGGTGGCGATGATAAGATGTGGTCATAAGCAGTGGTCAGTTTGTGTTCACGCATGTGTGTTAGTCTGACTTTTCTGTCCTCCCCGGGAGCTGTCACTGCACTCCAGGGATCCTGCTGAAATGGCGTTGCTCTCAGCTGTCAGCACACGGTCTCTCAGTCCCCAGTCATGACTTGAATATATTAGACTGTGTCTGTAGCCATAGCTACCAACATATAGAATGCACTTTTGGTGGATCTAGGGGGAGAGATATTTATACTCCTCTCAAATTGGGCAAGACCAAAAACATGGAACAGGCTTTTGATAAGCTACTCAAAAGAGAGATGGCTTTCATTTCTTTTAGAGCCAGCTGTAAAAAATAAATAGGATCTATAAAACATAAAAAGTTACATCAAAGAAATTGCTTTCATATGCACCAAGTAGCCTATCATATAGAAAGGCCCCTCCTTCATTTTACAATTGAAGTACAGAAAGGACAACACTCTGTGTCAAAGCTTTTTGTTTTTTTCTTTTCTTCTGTCACAATCGACTAGTAAAACAGGATCAGCATGTAACTTCAGGGAAACACAGAATACACATTTGATGCATGTTTAAACATAACTATGCAGCATGTCACAGAACAACATTTTCTGAACGTCTCAACTGAGTATCGACTGAACTGTTTCTATATCACTGAAGATTGTTCAAAAAAATAAAAAGTTTTGAACATTGTATGATCAGTTAATTAATACACACATCATCTTCAGTCCAAAAGTGATCTGAACGCATAAACTCCCTCTTCATCAGCCGTACTAAATTTAGTCTGCGGATGATCTGAACATGCATGTTAGCCCAATAACAACCAAGACACTTAGTTAGTAGTGGTAATAATGTGGCTTATACTTACTGACTAACTCTGTGCTTAAAGACAGAGCTTTGCAGTGGTGGTATGAGAGTGTGACACACAAGCTCTGCCACATGACAGTGAGCAGCAGCTTTAACCTTTTACCAACACAATTATGTTCTCTGTTGGTATTTTGATATTTTTTGATATTTACCAGTGCGCTCTTTGATACAGCTGCGTGGAGGAAAATGTTGCCTCCGAGCTTCAACTACAAATCCTGTCATGGAACTCGGGCATCATGACTTAATTTATGATGACTGATAGTGAGACAAAATAACTCATAAGCAGATATCATGCTTTCAAATTGCATGTGATCTAATTTATTTTTAACGTTTGGGATTTTGAGATAAGCGCACACAATTATTTGGGCTACTGAAGCTCCTAATCACCCACAGAGCTGGTGCCTTTCTGCAGTCAGAGTACAGATGCTACAGATATGGTGGCCAGACAGCGGCCTCGAGAAAATGAGATGACGTCCGTTATAGATTTGTGCTTAACTTGGATGTGTTGGTATACAGCTCAAGTCAAGAGTGTAGGAATTAATCAAAAAATAATGCGTTTGCTCCACTTTCTTTTGGTAGACAAAGAGCGGGAGGCGGAGCGGCGCACAGATGAATCTGTTTTGACAGTTTTAGCTTGAGTTCTAACTTTGTGTCTGGGTGGTGGAGAGAGAGAGAGAGAGAGAGAGAGAGAGAGAGAGAGGGGGATATGGGGAGAAATAGAAACATCTGGTAGAAATTCTAACAAAAGAAAGAATGGTCAAGAAGTGAGATTGAAATAAAAATAGAAAGGCAGCCATATTTAGTTCTGATGTTCTGATACGCTGATTCCTCTCGGCTCTGTGGATACCAGCCCTCAGGGAAACTGCAGCTTTATATGGGCCAGCATGGCACAGCCTGCCACTGTCACCCTCACCAGGGTTCATTGTGTGCAGAGACAACATGTATCTCCCCTCCACCCCCCTACTTCAATACTGTTCCTATCAGACCCTGTCTCTATCACTGTAGGCCTCTGCTTTTCTATGATCAGTAGATTGATTAGTGGAGAAATCAGCAGCCTAATGGTTGTACTGAAATGATGGATTACCCCTCTGCCCCCACTGTGTTACATATCGACTACAACATTATGGCCTAGTTCCATTTCAGTCTAAGTAGTTTGCTTCCAGCCAGTAGCTCTTTAGTGTTAAAAGCCTGGGCAAATCCAATAGGCGAGAACATTTTCATGACGAGGTGATGAGCAATAGGTGAGGTCAGGGGCTAATGGAACTTACTCACACACTTGAATAGAGAATGTGATTGGCTGAGAGCGTGATTACTTCATCCTCTCTATAGTCTCTGGCTCTTTTTCTCTCTTTTCCAGCTCTTCAGTAAGTTGTCATTGTGATTATAGACCTTGCAGATACTCTGTGACTAGTGTTATCTCCAGCTTTTCCTCCTCATTTACTGTGCTTTAATGTGGTTGTATCATCGACATCCATCCAGGCAGAATTGAATTGTAAATGGCTGCATGCTGCTTTGTGTCCCAGTTTCCTCTCACAGGAAATAAAAACAGTGATGGGCAAAAGAATTCAGCAAAGGTCCTGCTCATTACTGAAACTGGGCCAGTACTCATTGGTAGAACATCGGCAAGCTAGATTTCTGTCCACCCGAGTTTTTACATGGCAGCTCTGCTGCAAATCAGTGTGTGAGTGTGTGTAGGTGAATGTGGGGCTGTCTGAAGCACTTTGTCCTGTCCCCATGTCAAGTGTGACATACCTGCCATCACTTTTACTCAGTACTTTCTAATGAACATAGTTATTGTAAGTGTTCAGTGAAATAGCCTCATTTCCAGCTCCAACAGGCTGCTGTGTGAAGCACATATGTGGTCTACAGTAGTTCAGTCAGAAAGCTTCTAATAAGGGCTTAAATTTCTGGTAGAGCCTCCCAAATCCTCTGTCTGTGAAAGGTCTATACAGAACCTGGCTGGTATTGGGGATTTGTGGAGTGTTCTGGTGGCCTCATGGTCTAGATGAATACAGGATATAAAACCACACGTCCATCATTTGATTCCAACACGAGACCTTTGTTGCATGTCAAACCCCCTTCTCAAGCTTTGAGTCGGTCCACCACTTTGGTCCAGACTGAGATACCTCAACAACTGTTTGACAGATTTCCATAAGATTTTGTACAGACATGTGTTGTACCATGACGCTGGTTTTGAGTGAAATCTCTCAACTCAACTGTTGGATGAATTGTGTTTAGTGCAAATTAGCAAATATTAGCATGCCAACACACTAAAGTAAATTGTGAACCACAGGATGAGCTCTAAACATCAGCATGTTAGCATTATAATTGTGAGCATGTTAGCATTTAGCTCAAAGCATGGCTGTGCCATAGCACGGCCTCACTGAACGCTTGCATGGCCATAGACTCTTAAGCTCCCAGCATTGTCCATTCTGATCTGATGCATTCTGCGCATTCTGGCTGCTGAGGTTTAGGGAAGCCTGCACACCTTTGCAATCCTCAGCCTCAGTCTTGTTTATCTGCATCTCCACTGTAAACAGTTTAATTTAACAGTGTACTAATTCTGTTTTTTATTCCAATGTAAGCACTGGTATCACCGGCAAATATTGTCATTTGTCTCTTCATGGTTTTACTGGTTTTACACAGTTATGCATTAAAGAGCTTGTGGCACTTTCAGAATATTGAACAGAGCATCACTCTTAGATTTATTTAAAGGGCTTTGATTTACTCAGAGTTCTCTTTTAAATCATAGCACTCGCTGACACGGTGCTAATGCTTTATTTGAGGGCCAGGTTGTGCTTTTTCATTACTGCACACACTTAAATGTGTCTGGTGGGTGGTTTGGTATTGTGTGGACTCATTTTATACAGTAACTTTCACACTGCCCTCCACTGTAAGCTAGAGAGTGAAGCAATATGCTGCAACATGCAGTCATCGAGGCTTTCATCAACTTCGCTTCCCTCTGAGTTGAAGTCCTCTGGGCTTGAAAGTCTAGTCTCCTTCCACAAGATGAAGAGGTAGGTGGAGGTTGGGAGTGAATGTGTGGGAGGAGAGAATATAGCCCGCTGCTGCTATAACCAGCAGGCCAGTGCCTTGAAGTGGAAATGAGTAAAGAAGAAAGGTGTGTGTGTGTGCGCGCGTGCGTGTCTGTGTGCATTAAAGTGTTTTTGCTTAGCTCAAAGGAAGTGTGTGTTTCTCCTCTCTACCCCATGGCAGCGACAGTCTATTTTATTCTTCCTGAGGGACTACCTGAAGTAGACCCAGGAGTCAACCTTTGTCTTTGGCTTACAGCCAGGAGATGTGGAATCCTCTCACACATAGACACAGCGATCAGATATAGAGGATACACACTGCTATCCATAAACATGATCTGCTTGTTATTCCTGTCTCATCCCTCCTCTTGGCATTTTTGTCAGCTGTGGTCTCTGATGTGCTTGGTCTACTGTTTGTGTGAGAAACAGCTGCCAAGGGACCCCTTGTCTTTCTTCACCACTCTCCTCCTCCTCCTCATCCTCCTCCTCTTTCTGCCAACAAGTTTCATGCTACCCAGTGTGAACCCAGCAATTTTCCAAACAATGTAAATGTACTACTCAGCAGTGACATTTCTGTGGCATTTCAGCAGGCTCTGTGGCACAAACTGGGCGATTAGCTGTCAGGAAACTCACTTCAGTCATTAGTAGCACACTTGAGCATATGCTGACACCAGCCTCAACTGTCAAGTAAACGGTTTAAATGTTGTCAACTGCATATTGTATCATTATTATTTTAACAGGAATTTGAAGAGGAGACCTCCTTGGTTATGTTCAGCTGAGAGACTTTAGAAACTTAAGGTCTTATTGAAGTGTTCAAACACATGTTTAAAGTCTCGTCTTTGAAAGTACATGAATGGAAAAGTCAGAGACAGGTAAGACAGGAGACAACTTTGATCCTGGATATGCCTGTCATTATCAAGCCCATGGTGCCTGCTCCACTTTTCATTCCCTGTCTACACCACCTATTTTCAGCCTTTTGATTAGTATAGATGTGAATACGATGTGTAGATGTGTCGACAGAATACCAAGTAGATAATGAGCTTTGATTTCATTGGTTTTGAGTAAAAGGACACGGGGCTCTCAGTGCAAGTGGATGCGTGCACCTCTGTGTTAATTCTATTATCTGGAGTATCGATCAGTCTTAAACCACTGAGGTTTCCCATAAGACATTCTGAGATTCTGTATCCTTTACTTCGAAAGTAGGTTTTTTTTTTTTTGTCCTTCTCAAGGCCCATGAGTGCAATTTGCTGCCTCAATTAGTGTCCTGCTGACCTTAACTGCCTCCCCTCCCCGTGGAGCTCAGGCCTTTCCCTGCTTTCTAAAATCTGAATCGTCGTCACCACAGCCTCTCACTGCTGTTTTGTTGCCAACATGCAAAAGTGTTTGGATTGTGTGTAAAGCTTAAAGCTGTTATAATCAATAGTTTTATGTTAACAGTTAATCAAATGACTTCTTGTATGTTAAAGGGGTCACGTGTAGTGATGAACCCACAGACAATTATCACCCGGCTCTGCAGTTCTTCTCAACTTCTCAAGAGCAGTTTAACGTCTTTCAGCTCTTTGTTTTGATTTCACGGCTTGCAGCTTAACTGTCTCCGTTGTGGTCACCATTGTTTACAGAGGCAGTGGTTAGCAGGTAGCAGGTTTTCAGTGGAAAAAGCTCTGATAAGCCTGCTGCTCACTACTTGCACAGCACCAAACAGCAGACACACAAAGTTAGCAACTAGCTGCTGAGCACAGTGGAACATTTATTTTCCTCAAAAATTAGCTGAGAGCAAAACAAAGCTGAAAGGAGTGAATATTGGATGCATCATGAAGGCAAACACAACTCCAAGTGAATGTAGATTTACTTTTTGCTGACGAATTAGCCACAGCAACAACAAGGTGATAATATGTCACGGTTGCATTGCCCTAAAGTTTCCAAAAACGTCAAATAATGCAGGTTAATTTATGGGCCAAAGAGATGAATAAATGTGCCAACTGTTTAAAACACAGGCAGGCTTTACTGCTCTGTTTCTATCTGTGACCATTCTCTTCTGCTTCTCTTCATGCTGCAGGTTTGGGAAAAACTAAGAGGAAGACAAGCGCCCGTGATGCTTCGCCGACGCCAAGCTCAGACACAGAGTACCCCTCCAATGGCAGCGGGGGTGGAGGGGTAGGAGGAGGAGCTGCCGAGAGAATCTATGACCTCAACATCCCCGCTGTGGTCAAGTTTGCCTACATGCCAGAGAGGGAAGACGAGCTGTCCCTGGTCAAGGGCTCCATGGTCATCGTGATGGAGAAGTGTAGTGACGGCTGGTGGCGGGGCAGCCAGGCGGGACGCGTGGGCTGGTTTCCCTCCAATTATGTCCAGGAGGAGCTCGGAGGAGCAGATGACAGAGGAGAGGGAGATTCCTCACGAGGCTACCATGGAGGATCTCAAGGGACTTTGTTGGCCAATGGGCGTGCAGGCGGCCGCGGTGGAGTGCTCCACCTGGTTCAAACGCTCTACCCCTTCAGCTCTGTAACAGAGGAGGAGCTGAACTTTGAGAAGGGAGAGGTCATGGAGGTGGTGGAGAAGCCTGAGAACGACCCAGAGTGGTGGAGGTGTAAGAACTCACGTGGCATGGTGGGCCTGGTACCTAAAAACTATGTGATGGTGCTGGACGAGCGGCCCGGCCTGCCCCCCTCTACGTCGAGCTCCCCACAGAACCGCTTCGTGGCACCGGCACGCTCAGGGAAGTTCGCTGGGAGGGACTGGTACTACGGCAACATCACGAGACACCAGGCCGAGTGTATACTCAACGAGAGGGGAGAAGAGGGAGACTTCCTCATACGAGACAGCGAGTCATCGGTGAGTCTGCAAGATGAAGTCATGACAGAGCTGAGAGAAAAAGGAAGAAGAGGAGATTTCAAAAAATGCTAACAGATAGAGTAATGGGGTTTGGAAATATATTTCCAAAGTTACAAATGACTTTTTTGCATGTTGACCAGTATTTATTACTTAAGATTATTAGAAGTTTGATAAATAGCCAAGTTAAAATTAAAATGTTTTTGCTAAAAGGGATATTAAAGAATGGTAAAGAATATTACATATTTATTAAGTGACTCATTCCTACTTACCACAATACCTTTTAGAGAAATGCTGAAGTCATCACATGATTGCGGACAAATGCTCAGAGCAGGAACAGCCAATCAGACACAATTATTCAACCTACAGATGGCTCTTCCTAACAACAAATTCCTAACAAGTGATTATTTTCATTATCAATTCCTTGGCTGATAATCTTCTCTATTAATCATTTTGCCTGCAGGGCAAGGGGACATCACATGCCTTGTTTTGTTTGACCAACTGTCTGAAGCCTAAACATTGTCAGTTTTCAATTATATAAAACAGGGAAAAGCAGCAAATCGTCACATTGGAAAAACTGGAGCCAGAGAATTTATTTTTCTTTAAAAACAAAAAGAATCAATAATTAAAAAAGAAGATTTTTATGTTGATTACGTGATCAAGTCTTTAAATCAGCTCAGTTTATAATTTCTGTGAAAGCAGCAGCTTCAAATAATAGTAAAAAGATAATAATATAACATTATAGATTACATGTATTGTTTCAGACTTATTTTTCTCATGGCTAATGCCATGATGATAAAAAGGTGCTGACCTTGCGGCAGCCATTAAGGGTTTTCTCTTTAACGTCTTCAGAGATCTCAAGTTCTGCAACTAGCAATAAAAGTGAAGGAATTTTACTTTTCTTTCATTGAAGACCAAAATTTCACATGCAGCAGTTTGAAAAATGTTGGCCCAGATTTTTAAATGTGAGAATATACTGCCACCTGCTGGCGTAAAGCAGCAGATGATTCGTTTTCCTGTCACACTCTTATATTTCTAACCGTATCAACAACTCTTTCTCTCTTTGTTTTCCAGCCCAGTGATTTCTCTGTGTCTCTGAAGGCAGTGGGTAAGAATAAGCACTTTAAAGTGCAGCTGTCAGAGGGAGTGTACTGTATCGGCCAGCGCAGGTTCAACTCCATGGATGAACTAGTGGAGCACTACAAGAAAGCCCCCATCTTTACCAGCGAACATGGAGAGAAGCTGTACCTGGTCAAAGCGCTGCTGTGATTCACACATCCTCACACCTACACTGGATCGCACACACACACACAAACACACACTCTCTCATACACACTATACACACATAATACTAACGCCACTCCCTAACTGTCTTAACTCAAGCCTTAGCTCTGAACCCTCTCGCTGTGGCGTCTGTACCAAGTCCAGATCGTCAGTCACTCCTCTAGGTTTCATCGGTCACCCTCTAGTGGTGACCAGGTGAAACTCTTTCCAGCTCTACAGCTGAGCAGTTAACCCCAGGACTGCACTAGGAGAACGCTTACCCAGCCACATCCTTCATGTGCAGCACAGTGCATAAAAAGCCTCTCTATTCTGGATGTGCTGACATGCAGCGACAACATCTGCTGCAAACAGAACGCCTGAGGCCTTGTTGTGGGTTGAGCTCTCCTTCTGATGTCATACATAATGTCCATATACTACCACGCACATTGTAGGTTACACCATTGCTCTTAATCCACACAGAAACAGTTCAAAGAGGACTCGAACCTCTGAGGGACCTTACTCTGGTGTTGTCCTGTCATATTGCTGGCCATTGTTTTATTTTGCTCATTTGTTGTTGTTTTAAAATGCTTGTTCCTGAGTCGACTTTTTGTTAAATCTAATTTAAATTCCTCTTTGGAGGTTCGAATCATTGCTCTTTCATACAGTGACTTCACAAAGTGACCAGAATCACTCTTGCCTTTTTCTCCTAATTTTCGCCATTCCTCTACACGACTTCTCTCCCCATTTGAATCTATGTCTTTTGTTTCTTTTTCAGATTAATCCTTGTTTCCATCTCCACAGTCCCAGTCATTATTAGTTATCTTATTGAGAATCTGGATACAATACTTCCTGTAGTACTTCTACCAAGGCAGTGGAGGGAGTGTTAATGCAATAGGGGGGAACTCTGAATTCCTGTAGAGTTTGAATGTTTATCAATGTAACCAAATGTGCCACCCTGTACCCATAATACTGGCTCCAGGTCTGCACTGCACTCACCATACTTGGCATTCATTCATAGCTCTATGCTCATGCTTTATATTGTGTCACATTGAACATGTTCTTCAGTATGTGTCTGTAGGTACACAAGAATACTGAAGAAGAATAAGAAGAATAATAAAAAAAACTTCTTTGGTAACACTTTCCGAGTAAATACACTTGATCTCCGCCAGCTCCTGTGAATGAATGCAGTTAAAAAAAGTACTTCTCCTAATGTAGTATTTGTCAAAGATAAATATATCTTGTGATTTCAGAGAATTTTGCAGGGAAAGTGTCATTTACACAAAAAGGTATATGTGATTTAGTGATTTACTAAGACCCCAAAAGTAAACTAATTAGGAAGGTGTGGCCCTAAGCTCTACATTTATCAATCGCAAATGATTTAGAAATACTTGTTATTAAACCACGAAACCAGTCCGGCAACAGCTATTGACTGTTCACTAAACCCCCCTACCAAACAGCTACTGTCCACTTGTAGCTGTGCACAGCGGGTCTGACAAGCTAAGGACGGTAGTAATAGCTATACAAGACATGTAAAGCTAAAGGATTTAGAGGGAGTGTGTCTTTTTTTTTTACAAGCCTTTCCAAAACCAAGAACCTAAAAATAAGAAACCCCCTTTTTTTTTGTTCTACTTATGTCTGAAATCAAGGACCGATTATTTAAGAAATTGGTAAAAATTTAAATTTGCTTTCAATTTTAAACTGTGCAAGACTGGAACGTTGGACAGTCACAGCAACAGTAACAGAGGCAGGTGGGGCTTAACCAACAGTCAATTTTTAATAACAGTCATCTTTCACTGTCAAGAAACCAAATATATGTCATCTTTATTATAATGAAAATAATTCTAGTCCTACCAAACATTTTCCTGTTTATTTTCTTTTGCTATGTGCATTTGTTTACCAATGGAAGTGTTGATCATGGGGTCCTCAGCTTTTATATGATATATCTGAATGTTATTGAGCATTGTTATTTAATTCTTGTCTCCACTGTATGTATATATTCAAAATAAGATGAGGTGCATATATGAATCGTTAAGATCCAACTATGGTACTGTATCACCGACAACGTGATGAGAATTGAAATACTTTTGTTCAATAAAATTTTTTGAAGAATTCTAAAATTAGGGTGTGTTGAAATGTATGTGGGTATCATCTTTGTTATCCCAGTGGTGAATTAGAGCTTCAGTCCATGAATTCTTGAAGCAAATCTATCTTATCAATAAGGTAAAACCACAATCTTTACATCATTTAGATGCATCACATTAGATGCTTTTTTTCTAAGCATGTTCATTTTTTTCATTACATACAAAAGGCAATGAGCAATTCAGTGTTCAATATTTCTCAAGGACACCTTGGCATGTGGAGGAGCCACAGATGTAGTGTTGGTAATGACTAGTGCTACATTTAACAGCTGACACGCTCCACCTGACAGCAAATCTTTTGTGTTGTAAAACCTGCTGTCATTCCTGAACTGACAGATTAATCTATTGTTTACATCTGTAATGTAGAATTAAAACTGGTCAATATTTTGAACTGTGATCAGATGAGAAAATTATCATTGTGCTGTAGCTTGTAGATGACAAGTTGAATTCATGTTTGAAATAGGTTTTATATTGTTTGATACCTACAGTAGAGCCTGCCTAATTTACAAGGAAGGTTTGTTTCAATACTGTAGAGCTTTGATTGGGTGCTCGTAATTTGTACTTCTACTGTATATGAAATGGCTTACCAGTTTTTATTTGAACAATTACAAACTACACACATAACATATTACTCCTGTTAGACCCTGCCAGACCCAGTATAATGTAGTTGACTTAACATAAGCTAAAACATTAAATACTCTTTTAAAAATGAATGTATCTCAGAGTTCCTTTTGATTAGCCTAAATTGTGCTGTGAATACCTAATATGTCTTTTTGAGTTAAACAAATTATCTGAAAATTTGTCGTAACACTATGTCCAAACTCAGTCAGCCATAAACAGCCTCGTCAGGGCGAATGAGCCCTGTCTGCCAAATAGTTATCCCCTACATAATTCTGTCAGCTGGTGAAGCCACATTTGGAAGATGTTTGAGTTCACCTGAGAGGAATGTTTGTGTCTGTGTCAGTCACAATTAAACCGCCATCTGCCTCAGCTTTGATGCCACCCAGCAGCTGGCAGTTTGGATTTCATATCTCTAAATGAGAGTGATGACTGAAACATACTTTATACCCAGTATTGTGGCTTCTGTGCTATATTTGAATGACACAAATACATTAGCTTTTGGATGGAGATGTTCAGTTACTCTACCTGGCACAATAATACAGCAATGTTTGTTATGGTGATTAAAAAATTAATTCAACCACACAGGAGAGAATATTTCAACCTTGGAAACCTGTCACTGTGATGTGGACTGCAGTAACTTTAGATTTCCACATGATGGCAATAGTAGGCTTCTTGTATTGTCACCTTTCAATATCTACATTAAGACCCTGCAAGAGACATTGACATAAAAAAAGCACAGCATCAGTTTGGTTGGTTACCAGTAAATTCAGTTCAATTCAGTGACAATGAGATTATGTGCTAAAGATTTCAATTTACTTTTTTTCCTGTTTTGCTTCCTGGTGGGATCTAAGTAGTGACAAACAAAAATACAAACAAAATGTAAATTAATTCTAATAAAATTAAAATATAACCCAACTCAAGGATACACTACCAGTGGAGAACACTCAAGATCTGTACTCTAAAACTGATTTTACTTGACTCAAAAAGAAAATTTACTAAAAGCAAACCAAATTCAAGCAAACCAAAAGGGTCGAGGCCAGTGGATAGAGAACTCGTTCAAGGGTCAGTAAGATAAAGTATTTACTTTGCTATAAATCAATGCTGGTCCCAATTTGCAGTTTTGATTGTAACCTCAGTTATCTGCCTTTTCCTAGACAGAATAGAGTATTTCTGGCCTGTCAATAGAGAAAGAATGTAAATGAAGAATATAAGATGTTACCTTGTACTCCATGTCCTCAAATTAACATGCAACATTCTGTTTAACTTCGCAGGTCACACCCCCATCAACACATAAAAACAGAAATCAGCTCTTGGTGGTCTGGAAAATTCAGAGTTGCAATTTGCATCATGGTCAGTGGTTTGCAAGACAACAGTGTCTGTGACAATCCCTGAGGCCACAACACCTTTAAACAGGGAGAAATGCTTCAGACAACAATATCGGTGTCAAGACCAAATCCCTGAGTAAACAATATTTTCAAACAAAGGGGCATCTATTTCTTCACAAAACAAACTTGAGGAAAAATAAATTAACATTAACGCAAACTTCCCAATCCAACTATCCTTAACTCAACCCAGAGTCTTCAGGTGATAATTCATTGGAAACTGATGGGGTCTAGTTATACCGTTGCTGCCAGGAAGCTACACGTTATGCAGCAACTCAAACCAAACTTCAACCACTACTGCTCAAATTTGCAAACAAGGGAAACTACACAATTAAGGACACTGATCACAGACCAAATGTCTAAAAAATAATTGACAAGCCTTCATTTTGCAACAAAAGGTCGCACCAACTAAACCAGGCAAAATTAGTTTTGAATCTGTGGGTTTTCATTTCATTTAAAAAAAAAACGTTATTTCAAAATGTTTATTTTGATCCCAAACAAGCCCACGTTTGTTACCTTCAGGCTAAAGGCTGGCAACAAAATGAGAAGTCGCATAGAGGTGTGTAGGACGGGCAAAGGTTTGAGGAGGATGCTGGGAGCCAAAAAAGTGAGAGACTGGACACATAAACAGTTTCCTATACTTTTCAAAGACATGGCACAGATGTCAGGTTGGAGAAAACGATCCACCTAACTGCGCCCACAAACAACCAGCGAAAGAGAGCACATTAGAGCAAGAAGGCAAGCACAAAAAGTCCAATGTTTCATTAGCGGGGGCTGCTACACAGAGTGTAGTTTTGAATTCAGCTCAGAGAAACCTTTCCATGGCAACGTTCAAGTTCTTTCAGGAATGACATTTGATACAAATATAAACAGTTTTTTTCGCCATTTTTTTCAATACAAAGGACACAAATGACACATGATGGCAACATGAACAACAAGAATTACCAGAGGATATATTAGAAATTTTACTAAATTTGTTTGACATTCTTGGAAATATGGTTATTCATTTTTTCTAACAGTAAGACGAGAAGATTGACACAACTCTAATCTCTGTAGGTTAAATATGTATGAAGCTAGTAGCTAGTGAGCTTAATTTAGCATGATGACAAGAGAGAAGTGGAGACCAACCATTTTATTAAGGCTTAATTGACGGTGTGGACACTTTGAATTACAGGTTGGGGCTGTTGCTTGGCCCTGCCCACACCACCCTCTGTGGAGTTTGGGAGAGTCAGGTACTACTAAGATGGCGACAGCAGAGCAGCTCACTTGGAGTTTCAAAAACACAGAAATCTATGTATGACGTCACAGAGGCACATCCATCTTTATATACAGTTTATGGTGAAGACAGCTAGCTGATATTTCCAACTACAAGCACCTCTAAAGCACTCTAATTAACTAATTACCTCTTTTGTCAACTGAGCAAGCTAACCCTGGCTTCTGTCTTCTGTGGACTAGCAGTCAGGTTGCTAGCAGGAGTAAAAATAAAATTGTGGATATATCAGAGTATGAGTTCATTTCTGTTGAAAAATCCCATGAAAATGTCACCATGAATAGTTTGACGTTGTTATGCCGTATTATACTATGACGTTTTTTGATATTTTTATGCTTTACTATACTATGATGTTTTTTGACATTTAATCCCTTACTATACCAAGATGTTTTTTGACGTTTTCATGCCTTACTTTACTATGACGTTTTTATGAAATTTTATGCATTACTATGCTATGACATTAAATGCCTTACTATACTATGACATATTATGCCTTGCTATACGGTGACATTTTTTGACATTTTTTGATGTTTCCATGCCTTACTATACTATGACATTTTTTGAAAATTTTATGAGAGAAATGTTATACCTTACTACACTTTGACGTTTTTATTAAATTTTATGCCTTCCTATAATATGACATTTTTTGACATTTTATGACCTACTATACTATGACTTTTTTGAAGTTTTTATACCTTACTATACTATGTCATTTTGATGACATATTATGCCTTACTATACTGTGACGTTTTTTTGACATTTTCATGCCTTATTATAGTATGTTTTTATGCCTTACAATACTATGATGTATTTTGACGTTTCTATGCTATATTATGTTGTTTTCATGACTTTTTATGCCTAGCTATACTGTCATTTTCATTCCCTACTAGACTGTGACATTTTGATGACTTTTTATGCCTTATTATACTATGACCTTTTTATGACTTTTTATGTCTTACTTTACTATGTCGTTTTTATGACTTTTTATGCCTAGCTATACTATATAATTTTCATGCCCTACTATACTGACATTTTCGTGACTATTTATGCCTTATTATACTATGACGTTTTCATTACTTTTTTATGCCTCACTATGACATTTTTATGAATTTTATGTCTAGCTATACTATGTAATTTTCATGTCCTACAATACTATGACATTTTTTTGACTATTTATGCCTTATTATACTATGACATTTTTATGACTTTTTATGTCTGACTATACTACGTAGTTTTTATGAATTTTTATGCCTTACTATACTATGTTGTTTTCATGACTTTTTATGCCTAGCTATACTGTCATTTTCATGCCCTACTAGACTATGACATTTTGATGACTTTTTATGCCTTGCTATACTATGTCATTTTCATGCCGTACGAGACTATGACATTTTCATGATTTTTTTATGCCTTATTATACCATGACCTTTTGATGAATTTTTATGCCTTACTATACTATGACGTTTTTATGAATTTTTATGACTTACTATACTATGACATTTTTATGAATTTCATGCCTTGCTATGCTATGTCATTTTCATGCCGTACGAGACTATAACATTTTCATTATTTTTTATGCCTTATTATACTATGACCATTTTATGAAATTTTATGCCTTACTATACTATGACATCTTTATGATTTTTTATGCCTCACTATACAATGACATTTTTATGACTTTTTACGCCTTACTATACTATGACGTTTTTATGAATTTTTATGCCTCACTATACTATGAAGTTTTTATGATTTTTATGCCTTAGTATACTATGTCAGTTTCAAACCCAACAAGACTATGACATTTTGATCATTTTATGCCTTACTATATACATGACTTTTCATGACTTACTATACT